ATTGATTGTAAGTTCTTTAATCCAGTGCCCATTCAAGACTTGTTAAGAACTAAATTCTTTGCTGTGTTGACAGAGAAGGAGCTAGAGTCACTTGGGGTTATATTAATAGGATACTGGGTCAGCCTTCACTGATTCGAGAATCATCTATTGCTAAATTTCCATGGTCAGGCATAATGTCTCAAGCAAGGAACCGAGCTTTAAAGTATAATACAGCAGCTGGGACAACAGCACCACTGGAAAGCAAAAAGGGTCTTGAGAATGTTGTTCTCCATCCCTCATTGAAAAGGAGAATAGAGCATCTTGCTAGGGCTACAGCAAACACCAAGACTCACCAGGCCCCTTTCAGAAACATGCTATTTTATGGGCCTCCTGGCACTGGTAAAACTATGGTTGCAAGGGAGATAGCACAAAAATCGGTAGGTGTTGAATGATCATTTCATTTTCCCCCCTTCATACCTACTATGATGTACTTGTACCTTACCCTCAATTGCTGCCTTGGAAAATTTGTTTCTTAAGGATGGAGTAATTCCTTCAAATTTCATAATAGAAGCATAAAAGAAAATGAACTGAGAATGTTGAATTTCAGTGGAAAAATTTTAGATTTATCCTTTAGCTATCTGAGAAATAATAATCTTTTCTATATGTTTGAAAATAAAATTACTAAATATATGCTATGGAAACAAATAAAGTGAAGTTGAATATTGTTGGCTAGTTTCAAAATTCGTATGGTCTTGCTGACTTCCCTGTGGCAGGGAATAGATCTAACTTTAGACAATAATTAAATTAAGTGTTTGATGTGATTTGACACTATATGTTGCAGGGATTGGATTATGCCATGATGACAGGAGGTGATGTTGCACCACTGGGTGCACAGGCTGTCACCAAAATCCATGAGATATTTGATTGGGCTAAGAAGTCAAAGAAAGGTTTGCTGCTTTTTATTGATGAGGCCGATGCTTTTCTATGCGAGTAAGTTACGATTTCCTTGGCATGTGTCAAGTTTCTATGTTGAATCGCAATCTGATATTTGTCAACAAATGAGCTCTTTATAATGACCAGGTTAATAATTGTGCCGTTTATTTAATCATTGCAGGCGTAATAGTATACATATGAGTGAAGCACAACGGAGTGCTTTGAATGCATTGCTTTTCCGAACCGGAGATCAGTCAAGAGATATAGTTCTTGTGCTTGCCACCAACCGGCCAGGGGATCTTGACAGTGCTATCACTGACCGCATTGATGAGGTGATCGAGTTCCCACTTCCTGGGGAGGAAGAAAGATTCAAACTTCTGAAGCTTTATTTAAACAAGTACCTCTCTGATGAAAGTGATGGTACATCCAAGTGGGGTGCTTTGTTCAATAAAAAGCCACAGAAGATAACAATAAAAGATTTATCAGAAGATGAAATCCGAGAGGCTGCGAAAAGGATAGAAGGTTTCTCTGGCCGTGAGATAGCTAAACTCGTGGCTAGCATCCAGGCAGCAGTCTACGGGCTCCCAGACTGTGTTTTGGATTTTCAGATGTTTAAGGAAATAGTAGATTACAAGGTCGCGGAGCATCACCAGAGAATAAAATTGGCAGCTGAAGGTGGTTTGCCATCCTAGCTTGGCATTTACTCCTAAGATTTTTACTCGCAGGATAGAGTAGGCCTTCTCTTTGAAACCATAAATGTGGGAATTTTGTTTTTGTTCCCACATACTTTGGAATTTACTGCCTTGATGGTTCATTTTCGTTTAATCACCCTTGTTTGTAGCCCATTTTAAATTGGCTTCCAAACAGTGATGAAGATTATTGATTGACCGAATGCTATTAGATTCATTGCAATAGCTTGGTTCTGTATTGTGATTTCATCGATCTTTGCTTCCCTGTTGGATTTAAAGGACTAAGCCTTATTACCTGATGCTCCATCGGTCAGGATTAATGCTTTTGCAGAAATCTCCTCAGTGATGCTTGTCCTGGTGAGGCCATGGCGCAGATTTTATTTCAAAATTGAGTCAACTTGAAATCAAATATCATCTTTACCAACAATGCAGAATGTATTGCAATGCAAGAGAACATAGATTTTTATATTTGTATATTTGTGAGGTGATATCGTAATTATAGTTTAATTAAAATATTAATAATTATATAAATAAATATATATACAAATTGTTCGATAATTCTGTTCGAATTGATAGATAATTTTATGTGATTCATTTAAAACACAAAATACGATAATTTGTTTTAAATTTAAATCCGACCCTTTCTATATTAATGGATCGTAACGTATTATCCTACATCGGCATGCTTACTTCGGTCAGCTACTATCGGACAAAACACAATAAACGCTTGTCCGAAGATTGGCATCATGGTTGGACCCGACAATTGTCCAAATCTCCTAGGCCATAATTCCCGCAAAAAGAAAAAGAAAATACCAAGAAAAGCGCACAGTGAAAGGTCGAAAGCGAAGGGAAAAAAAAAAAAAAGACAAAGGCAAAAGGCGATTTGGTTGGGTTTTTTGAGTTTGAGATTCAAAACATTCCTCCACATGGGCCACAGAGTAAGCGAACCACCTGGAACGGACTAACTGAAACGCCAAGATCTAACTTAAGATTATGCACGATTCAGATGCCGCCAACAGTACCCTTGTCCTAATAACACGTGGCGTGTTGGCAGCGTTTCTTCTTCCCCACTCGGCCACGTTACGCACTGCAATGCCACGTTTCAACACCAACGGTTTTTGTTCCCTCCCCCCCGTTATGACCCTTGCTTTGTTCTTTTCCCTCTACAAACCAAAAAGCTTGTTAGAAATAGCCAACACAAAATTTCTGGTTTTTGATCTTGTTCTTGTTACTGCAATACTTTCTTTTTTTTCCAGAGAAACAAACAATACCCTTAGAGAGATAAAGAAAAAGAAAAAAAAATTAGGAAGATGGGGAAACTAGTGGTGGTGGTGATGGTAATGGCCATGTTATTGGTGGGGGTTTGCTGGGGATGGGGAGAGGACAAAGCAGAAGAAATCAAGCAAGTTGCTGGTGAAGCCATGCAAGATGCCGAGGACGAAAACGAGAACTCCTGGTTTGATTCGGCTTTTGACAAGTTCCCTGAGTAATCAACCTTTCACCTTATAAACTTAAATCATATATACTACTATATATAGAAATGCATACATAATCTATTTATATTATAGTATATAGTCATTTTTAGAAGTATCTTATTACGTAGGCCAATTGGGAGTTGGGAAAATACAATTTGCTTTGTTGGCTTTTTAGTACTGAATTTCTTTTTGCTAGGAATGTGGTTCTTAAGTTTAGCAGTGCCTAGGTTAATTCTTAACATGATTGGATTTGTATGTTGAAATATTGGCGTGATTAAATGAATGAACATCAGCAATTTGAGCGTTTTTGTCCGTTTTCATTAGATTCCAGAAAGCATTATACTTCTCAAAAAAATTTCCCATTTAATTGAAGTGAAAAAGAACAAACCAACCCTAACAATGTGAAATTCGTCACAATTCATTGAAACCCTTTCCTTGTTTCCATGAACCAGTGCTTTTTCCTATTGTTTTTTGGTTATTAATTATTTCTATTAATCTAGGTGATATAACAGGAAATATAGCTGTCCTTTCTCTTTACCCGCCTCAATTCCATGCATAGACTCAAGCATATAGAAACTAAACTTCCTAATGGAAGAGACAAACTGCAGGATCATTTGTCTCGTATGACTGATTCAGATCACTATGTTATGAACAAAACGGTTGTGTCTCTCATATTGCAATGATTCTGGTAGGGTTTTTGGACATAAATACGAGAATGTAAGAGAAGCAGCTAACGATGTGATGAATAAAGCAGGAGATGCGGCCTCAAGGACAGCAGAGACAATTAATTCTGCTGCCTCTGGTAAAAATTAATCAATCTTGTGTCTTTCATATTAATTAATGTAATGTCAACCAAAAGTTTGTTCTTCTTATCATCAGGATTTATTTTTCGCCTTTTGGTATGTGTGATATTTTACTTCTGTCATTGCAGAAGCATCGAATTATGCTGCTGAAAAAGCTAGAGAGGGAGCAAACATGGCTTACGAGAAGGCAGGTGATGGATTGAACATTGCTAACCAGAAGCTTAACATCGTTACAGATGTGGCTTCAGATCAAGGTAATAGTGCTAGAGAGACAATGGCAGGAGCAATGGCCTATGGGAAAGACAAAGCAGCCGATGCCTATAATGAAGCTAAGGAGAAGATGAAAGTAGCTTCAGACATCGCTTCAGATAAGGCCTATGATGCCAAAGAGAAAATTGCAGGTGGGATAGAGTACGGAAGAGATAAAGCAGCCGATGCCTATGATCAAGCCGCGCAGAAGTTTGAGATGGCTTCAAATGTGGCTTCTGAAAAAGCCCATGATGCCAAAGAAACAATAGCAGGAGCTATGGGATATGTAAGAGATAAAGCGGCCAATGCCTATGAAGTAGGCAGCCAACAAATGAATACAGCTTTCAGTGAAGGGTATGATGTCAAAGAAAAGATGGCTGGCGCAATAAATTATGGAAGAGATCAAGCATCAAATGCCTATGACGAAGCTAAGGAGACGGTGGCAGGATCAATGGGATATGGAAGAGATAAAGTTGCCAATGCCTATGAAGAAGCTAAAAATAGGGTAGGAGAAACATATGCAGCAGCCAAGGAGACCATGAATGAAGAGGCTAAGGCTAACTATGAGGCTGCCAAGGAGAAAGCTTCCCAGACAGTGGGTGATCTTGGAGCTAAAATGCGAGGGAGTAGCGCAGAGCTTTGAGTGAAGCCATATTTTCTACTTGCTGACATTGTGAAGCTATCTGTGAGTCACTCTTTGGGATTCTTCTCTTTTACTAGTATTTGAGGAATTTTATTTTTATAACTCCCACCTTTTATTTCCTCATATCTAGAGATCACATGCAGATATAAGCATATATATAGTTCTTGGAGAAATAATTTAGTAGTATATTTGAACAAAAATGAAATTGGTAGTGTATTGAACACATCTTATTTTAAGTTCCATATATTTTTCAACATATCAAAAATCTAATACATACGGCTTGGTAATTAGACAATGTGGTGGGCTTCATGCTCATGAATATGTAAATTACATACAAGTTGCTGATGGAGCAACCTTGTTATCTGGACTATGAAGCCCATTTTTGCAATGTAGATTTTCTCCATAAAATTGTTGCTTTACTATATATTTAGAAATGAATTAAGTATCTTGTACATGATCAGATATTGAAGTTATTTTTCCCCATTCTCTCTAGGTCTTTCTTTTACTTCTTCTAGGAATATAATTGTATGGTTTGTTTGATAAATCTACATAAATTCAGCACTTGCATATAAAAATGAAAATAAAAAGAAAAAGTACCTTTAACATCCTAAATTAAGGATGATGGATTTCCTTAGAATTGATTTAACTGGTAGAAGGCACTCTCTAAAAGCCTTTATAACTTAAACCTTGGGTAGGTCTTGAATAATTAGTAATAATATTGGTTTTTAGCTGTGAAGGAGATCCTAAGAAGGGCCAGAAGTGGTATTGGCAAAGTTTTGCATGTATGGGAAATCTCAATATGATTGATGAACTTGGTAGTGAATTTAGATGGAGTATTTCTCCAATTTTACCCCTCTCTCTCACCTTTTTCTGCTTATCTTTTTTTTCCTTCTCCTCATATCTTCTTCTCCTCATGAAATAAGAATGATGTAAAGGATCCAGGCTTTCCATTTTGGACACTCTTATCTTTATTATGTCCCTCTCAAGTCAATCGAATTCATGTGAATTGTTCTTAAATGCCTGTGAGGCTGTGAACTTCCCCTATTGATTATCTGTAGCTCTTAGCTGTTTTCCTGCAAGCTGCTGGAATAAGTTTCCTGTTTTCTTTCTGTTTTTATTTCTTCATTCAGCTACTTGTTCCTCAAGAATTTACATTGTGAATGTTTTGAACCATTCCTAGTTGGCATTAGATCACCAAGTTACTGCAGTTCTATCGGTTAGGTCAGTATATATAGTGCATCTTCTGATTTTTATAAATTCTTCTATCTTTTTCTTTAACAGTTCTGAGCTGAAGTTTGAGCTCCCAATCCACACCCAACCTTTTTAATTCCCAGCTTCCTGATGTGTATGAGAAAGAAGAATGGGATTAGATTACTCCTTCTTGAGTTGCCAAGACTATTAGAAGGAAAGAGAACTCACATGTAATAACATAATTCAGTATATCAGCAAGTTCTCATGGGCATTTTCATGCAATCCCTCAACTTTTTGGTTACTTTTATAGTTGATTTGTCATGGACAAAGGAACTTTTCGAACTATTTCAAATGCCCTTCTCTTTTCGAATGCAATTTGTATTAAAAAGAAGGAAAAAAAGTTCACCCAGAGAAATAGACTTGACATGAATGTCACTAGCTTATACTTATCAATCTGTATGCAAGTTTCCAGCGTTTCTGCACTGTGAAAGAATCTGTCAACTAGGATACGTCTCCTTCAATCTATAGCTTTGATGGGGCCAACTAGTCCAACGGTGTTGTTATAGATGCCGACGTTTCACATGATGAACAAAGAAAGAAAATTCAGGATTGCCATGTATAAACAAGTCTCACATGGCTGGAATTCTATTATGCAACTCCAAAGGTTGAAGTTTCCAGGTTACAGCTTAGCTCAAAAACTTTGCACTAACCCTGTAAAATGAGTTATGAGAATAAAAAGAATAGGATTTAATGATGCCTATTAATCACGTCGGTATCATTAAACCCGTCATATTCCGTTTGCCCCGGCTTTAATTCTAGAGAGAGATATGTAGAAAGACTTTGTGGTAGGGTTGGAAGCAACCAAAGGTACCATGATTGATGGGCCAAATGGGACAGTTTTGGGGGAAAGGAAGAGGAAAAGATCTTCATACATAAAATTTTGCTAACATATGTTTGTCTTTTTTCCCCTTTTTCTCTTTAGAGAAAAGTAATTGTAGTAGTATACGAAACAAGAATGTTTACCAACCCGATTTATTTCATTAGTGAAAGAGCTTAGGCAACTGAGTACAAAAAGTATGGGTCAGATTCTAACATTCTCTAAGGGTTGAAATGATTCGGAATCATTTGTAGGAGAGGAAGATTACAGATTGACTGACGTTTGCTCTAATGAAAAATCCTGATAGGGTGAGATTCCTAGATGTTGAAGAGAGAAGAAGTACTAGTACAATCTTTATGAGCTGCCAGAGTTTCTAAGACTTGGGATATGTCAGAAATCAGAATTATCTGAATTAGAAGAGATTAAGAAGAAGAGAATCAGAGATTTAATGATGTTAATCAAACATTTCTGGCAAATCAGGAAAAATCAGTAACTAGTAAGAGTTCTAGCTAATCTATTTCCACCTTTCTTTTTCTATTTGGCTATGCACATTTTTAGGCTAAAATTATTTATTCTCTAAATCTATCAATTCTTTAAGGAGAGCTGCTACTTGCAAGTGTTTCGAAGAAAAACTCTTTCTTACATTTGCTTTTTCTTCATGGCTTGTTTATTGTTGTGCATCCAAACTTTGAAAACCTGTCTCTTTACTCCCACTTGAGCGCAAAACTGCTGCACTTCTTGCTCATCTTGCTTCTGGATTCTCCACCCCAGCTTCTCAGCAAATTCCATCATCTTATCCTTCTGCTCTTGACTGAACTTTGTTCTAAACCTCTTCTTTGATGACTGTGGCTGCGCCGATATTTGCCCTCCTGCATTAGAATGAAACATATTCAGATCTTCACTTGAGGACTCAGCCGGGCCGCCACCACCGAAGTTCATCATTACAGGTGCAATTGGCATGGCAGTAGGACTAGTAGACAATCCAAGAGAGAATCTTTGTTGATGAAGAGGGATTGGTTGCTGAGGATGTAGCTGAGAAGGTGGATGTGTAGTATCTCTTCTGTTGTTGTTTTTGTTGGGGTTATAGGAATAATAATAACAGCTTGGTGCATATTGTGTTTCCCCGTTGATTTCTTTTCTATGAAAATTCCTGTGGCATTCACAAGCTGCGCATTTCAAGGCTTCTGGGGTGCCTTCTTCGCCGCTTGGCATGAATTCTCCGCAGCCATCCATAACATGGCCGCCCATGCTGGCTGCGTGGTTCTTCATACATTCTCTATATCTAATCAAAGGAGTAGAGCTGATAGTTGTTGGTGATGCAGCTGCCACTGGCGGGGGCTGTGATGTTGGAGGTTGTTGCTGTGGTGATTTTAGGCTTGATCTGTTAGCTGAAGCAGTCACTGTTGCACTGGTTGTAGCAGTTGTAGCTGACACCGGATCTGGGTCTGGGTTTGGATCTCTTCTTGGCTTGTGTATTTGGTGTTGTGGATTCAATTCTGGGTGGTAAAGAGGGTGGAGATCTAGGGCTTGAGGTGGGTTTGGATTGAGGACTGTTGTGCCACCATGAACAGTTTGATCTCTCCTCCTTTCTCCCACACCTGAATTTATAGGTGCAGAAGAAGAGACTTTTGAGGAAGAATCCCTGTTGAGTTGATTATTATAACTAAAAGAGCTTGGCATCCCCATTTCCTTATCTTGGCCTCTCAGTTCCATTAACTCTGATTTTCTAATGTAAAACCTTGATCTAAGTCTTGATCTCAGCCGCCCTTTTATTAGACTAATATACCAGTGGTGTGTTTCTTTTCAAACAGTCGTCATCATCATCATGGTTTTAGTGATTTTTTTCTTAAACTAGGAGAAAACTTTCCTGCAATCTTTTCAACCCTAATTCACCACCATCTATTAGTAGCTAACCCAAAATTATTCCCTTCTCTCTTATTCTGACTTTGACGTTTTAGTGCTAAACCCACCAACTCATTTCACTAATTCCCATTTCCTGTTTCCTCAAGACGTAAGCAAGTGCTTGAGCAGTATGTACAGACAAATGAAATTTTTTAAGGACTAAAAGAGATTTAATCTTATAGAAGGTGATAAAATTAGATTTGGAAGCTCAAACAGGAAATGGGTCTAATATGGGGCCCTTAGCTACTACCAAAGTTTACAAAGAACTTACCTCGATGAATTAAACTGATCACTCATCAGTTTTTGATGTAAGAAAACTCTAACCGTCAGCAGTTCCATGAGGTTAAGACCAAGCAAACACAAGCAAGATTGTTTTAGCATTGATTAAGGAAGTGCAAACGTGAAGCCTAAACTGTGAGAAGGAAAGAGTCAGAGAGAGAGAGAGATGCCAGGAGAAAGAGGTAAAAAAGAGGGAGGATAGAGATGTGTGAGAGGAGTTTTGTTTCCTAATCACCCATCCAAGCCCATAAAATCCATCTATCAAAGGAACAGGCGGGTTGGTTTGTACTAAAAAACACCAGTGATGATACTATTAGAGACTGGTGACACTGAGGGATCTAGTACTCCTGCAGAACAACCGACAAGGCCATGTTAGTCCTCTCTCAGAGCCTGCACACTGGTCCAGCTCCTAATTATTGCCTCCCTAACACTTCGCTATTTGTTCCGTTACTATTTTCTTTCCTTCCCTCTGCACTCTGCAACTCTAAACAAACCCCAAACGAATAAGCTAAAGTGAAAAATTTTATCTGCACGGCAGTGAGCAAGGAAGAGAAAAGAACAATACTACAGGAATAAGAAATGTATATCACGTCTTGAGAATTGACATTGGCTTGGTTGCCTGGAATGTTCCCGCAATCTCAAATTCCTACGCTTAAGACAGTTTTGATCATTCATTGAGATTTGCACATCATCAGGCCCAAAACCTCAATTACATAATCTCTTAAACAAGGGGGTTAAGCTTAAGATAATCAGCGAAGGAAGAGAAAACAAAAGAGGGAAAGAAAGGACCCCCTCTATCTTTTGTGGGCTACAGGAATTAAAGTGCGGGAATGCTGGTCCACATCACTGCACTTGTCCTTTTAGTGTGTGTCAGATTCTTTCTCTCACTCTCTTTCTTTTCTTTAACTCTCTCTCTACTTGAGACTAGAAGCCTGTTTTTCTATTGGGTGCGCCTGCAGAAATCTTATTTTTCTGCTACTCCACTATTTCCTAACCAATGACTTCAGCCAGTACAATTCTTCTTTCTCACTGCTATTGATGTTATTTTTTGGCTGGCCTTTGCCTTGTTGGCATCTTTTTTTCTTCTCTTTCTCCATCACACGTCGTTTTTGTGCTTCTAGCAACTTTGTTTTCTTGGTGGTAAGAGTGTTGTTACACGTTAGCCAATACAAGGAGGTAGCTTTTAATTGATCTGCACTGTGTTATTTGACTCTTTCCTCCTTTTTGGCCCATGCTTTTCTTTTTCTTACGATACATCACATTAGATAAGCTACTCCCATACAGATTTCGGCCATTTAAAACCCTCTTAATTTTCCCTTTTTTTGGGTCAATATTCAACCTTGAATGAGTCATAAAGACTGGTTTATGCACTCAAATCATATATACTTACCAACTACTTACACCCAGTTCCATTTTTGTCTTCAAATTTGAATTTGCAACCACCTTTTTAGTGAGATTAAAGTTTTCACAACCAAGGTCAAGCGGTCCACCTCCAAGGCCCAGCTGAAGATCTTTTCTCTAATCTTTATCATTCAAATTAATTCTCTTTTCCCCATGTTTCTTTGCTCTCTCTTACCTGACACAAAGGTTTGTTTCGTATCACAAATTGGGAAACACCATGTTCACATGTGTCTGCATAAATCTTTCTGTCTTAATTAGTATTTTATTATGAAACTAATGGCCAGGGCTTAAAAATGGAAGAATATATCGGGGACTACTTATCTCTGCAATTAACTAGTATAATCTTTTTTTAAGTTATCCAGGGCACCTTCTTTTGTGAGCTTGGAGGGGAACAATTTCCAACCAGGATTAATTAACAAAACGAATAAAACGATTAATGATTAAAACAACCCACTTGTCTTCTTAATTAATATGCAAAGACCCTGGACACGTTGCAAAAGCCCAGCCTGGTATCTCTGAAAACTTTCTTCTTTGGGATCCCTGGGAAAATAATTTTGGTCTGGCCTGGTCTGGTCGCATATGTAGCTAGGGTTGTTGCATAAAGATATTTCCATCATAATTTGCAGATCTAACGCTTCAATGCTCCTTTGGGTTTGCATGTGTTTTAGCAGTAACCTTTGCTTTGACTTTGCTCTTCAAAAAACGGACCACCTTGTTTCCATGGGCCACCCTGATTTTTCTCACGGGAAATTTTTTACATCAATTTCCCCTATTTTTTTTTCTCGAAAACCAATCAATACTTAACTATTTATGCAATCTAACAAACAATATTCTTCCAAGTTTTCCAAGTCAAAGTTTTTTTGCTTGATTCTTATAGAAGTCAAATCAACAATGAACATATTTAACAGCTATAATTTGACGTGAAATTTATATTTTTGTTAAATAGTAATTAGTAATCTAGATCTGCCGACTACTTGTGTGTGTTTATTTTCATATTAGGGGTAAATCAATGTTCTTTTGAGACAAAAAAAAACGAGTAAGTCGTGTGCTGTCTTTGTTAAGGGACCGCTCTTGGTCGGGACTCCTATGCAATTTGTGTGTTAGATCAATGTCCGTCGTTTGTCTCTTTAGCTTAAGATAGAAAGGAAAAGAATGCTGTCAGAAGAAATGCACGGTGATCCTTAAATGGAAAGGTTTTTTTAATCCTAATTTATGTACTTTTTTTCATATTAGTTAATGGAGTTCTAATTACAAAAAAAAAAAAGATTTTTTTCAACAAAATTTTTTTTGTCAAAAAAAGTTTATTTTAGTCAAAAATGTCTTTAATTAATTGGAAATAAACAATAATAGATGAATTTTTCTATGAGAATGAATTTCATAAAAATGTATTTATTTATTTTGTAATATCGTTAATTTTGTATCTTAAAAAATGAAAAAAAAAGTGCCCAACATAAGTAAACAAACAAAATAACAACAAACTAAATTAAGTACCTGATTTTGGCAATTGCAACGTTTAAAAGTAACATAGTAATATCTATTTTTCTTTATTCAAAAAAATTGACACTAAAAGCCATTAAATTCACAAATTTTAAAGTTTATCTCTCTCTACATATTTTAAATACATATAAATTCGAACAAACAATTGGATTCGAGATAAAGAAATCTTCTTGAAAGTAGTTTTGAGTTGAATGCTAATTATTGAATGCTAATTATTGAATTTATTTTTGAATCCCCAAAACATTTTTTTTAGAGTAAATATATTAGTAATATAGGATAGCATAAAAAAATAAAAAGAGTACGGATCGGCTTGCGCCGGTTGGCTTTTTCACGAACCAGAATCGAGACAAGGAAATCAAACGTTGGCCATTGTTGGCCTCCTCGCTCCTCAGTCATATCAAAATCTGCACGCGGGTACGTGCATGATTTGAGTGGCGGAGTTGACGTTTTTGCATGTGGAATCCAACGACCCCAACATAAAGTTTTCTCCTTTCCCTTGGCCACTTAGCTCCTCGCTTAATAATTCCCACCAAGTACTTCCTTCCCATATCTAATCACAACGCCTAATTATCACTTGCTAATACTAATTATTACCTAATTTTCCCCTATAATTTTCTCATTGGTGCATGAGTCACACCATGATGATCGTTTTACAAAAGATTACTGAGTAGTTTTTCACAACAATAATCAGAATTTTTAACTTTAATTTTCATCTTAATCAAGAATAAAAATCGACAAGTCATTAACAAATTTATATTTGATGTCTTATTCGCGTATACTATTCATATGTAGTGTTTTCCAATCCTTTTTATTCCTTCAACGATTCAATGGAGAAAGTTACTACTAGTACCAGACCTCTTCTTCTCTCGACCTACCATACATCAGCCTTGTGTTGTCTCCATCCAAGCATCTTCTTCCTTCCATGTTCTCTTTTTGTCTCTTTCTTCTCTTTCCCTCTAAGAATTGATTCTTTTCTATCGTCTATAGAAAATCCCCTTTCTCTTTAAACCCAAATTTCAGAGACGTTTGGGCTGTTCGTTGGGGAAAAATTATTTGAAATATGGTGGTTTAATTGTAAGGAAAGTCAGTGTTGATGAGATAAGGTATAAAATGCGTATACATTGACAATGCATTAAGTATAAACTTGTTGATAATAATTTTATTATTATAATTCAAGCACTTAATTAATTATATATGAAAATAAATAATTAACAAATTAAATTTCATATCAATGATAGAAAATTTGTAAAGTCGAGAGATGAGAATTAGTTAAATCAAAGAAATTTAGAGAAAATTAGACAAAGTAATAATTTTTAAATTTAACATATTTTAATTTATTTTTAAGAATTTTTAAAATTTTAATTTTTTTATTACTGAGATGATAATCTCTTCTTCATTAACAATCTCATTTTTTATAATTCAAGCAGTTAATTTTATTTGTTGATATTCCATCTATATATGTGGTGATTATGACGGCCCAGGCTCATGCAAGATTTTCATAAAATCGGTAATTAAGTACTTTTTGTCGTTAAGTTAATTTAGTTTAATAACAATGATGAGTTAATGACTTAAACTAATTAATTTTAGAGTTAATATCTATTGATTTTAATTATTTATGTCTCCTATTTTTTTTCGCTGGATGATAAGATAGACATGCCATTGCATTTAACACTAACTAAAGTGCCTTTTTTAAAAAAAAAACTCTAACAAAAGTGGTTTAATGGCACATCAATTATCCAACGTGATCGGACACTCTCAGTTTTCAAAAAGTTTTTAATTAAAAAATAAATATTTTTATAAATGGTTTTAAAAGGAAAAAATGTTTAAGGACAAAGTATTAATTAAGACAAAAATGACTTATATATATCTAACAATTGTGTTTAGATATAAATACAAATAAAGAAACTTTGATCAATTCACTATAAAAAACAAAATTTTATTAAATTTTTAAAGTTCTTTTATAAATAAGAAGGTATTTTTAAAAATAGATTTTCTTATAATTTTAACTGTTTTTAGTCAAAAGAATTAAAATTTGAACAATATTATCCTTAATGAAACTGATTCATTTATTTGGCTCAGCATCTCAACCCGAAGCCTATTAATGGGTTGAGTATAGTTAGGTCTGTACCTCAAACCGACTCGTATTCTTTGAGCTACTCTCGCCAGATCATTTATCCTTAGAGTATTTCTTACCACAAGGAAAAACATTTAAGCATTTTAAGTATTTCAGAGTAGCTTTTGATACATGAAAAAAACTTTTGAGCGTTTTGAGCATTTTTAAGTATTTTAGAGTAATTTTTGATATATGAAAAAAACCCTTTGAGCCTTTTGAGCATTTTTTGTCAAGTATGCATATTTATTAATTATGTTATTAAATAAAATATGGTGTATCATTTGAAGTCATTGATCTTATTAAATAAAATTTAGTAGTTTTGGTAGTTTTTAAGTATTACGTAATTGATTTTTGAACATTGTGTGATTAGTTTTTAGGTATTACGTTACTAATTTTTGAGCATTGTGTGACTGACTTCGGGTACAATTAGTTTTTAAACATTGCGTAACTAATTTTTAGATATTATGTGATTGATTGATATAACATTGCGTGACTTATTAGTAAGTCATTACTTGACTAGTTTCAAAGGTATTATGTGACTTAAGCATTGTTTAAAAATTAATCACGTAATACT